ACTCCTACTCCTACTACTACTACTACTACTACTACTACTACTACTACTACTACTACTACTACTACTACTACTACTACTACTACTACTACTATTCGTCCTCCTCCTCCTCCTTCTCCTCCACCTCCTCCTCCTCCTCCTTATGCCATGCTGCTCCCTTCCACGTTCCAAGAAGGGCCACGACACACGAGAACCTTCAGCGTGGCCACAAGGGCATGTGTCCTGACCACAACGGTCCTTCGAAGGCCACACTGGGTCGCGAGGAAGGCATCAGCAGGCGGGAAGCCAGGTTCGGAAGTGTCCCGACTTGCTCTCTCTTCCTGTGAGTTCGCTGCCACACAGTGGTTACCAGCGAACTTCTGCGAGTTCCCCCTCCTCCGCCTCCTCCTCCTCCTCCTCCTCCTCGTCCTTCTTCTCCTCCTCCTCCTCCTCCGCCTCCTCCTCCTCCTCCTCCTCCTCCTCCTCCTCTACGTTCGTTCTGTCTGTCTGTCTGTCTGCCTGTCTGCCTGTCTGCATCTGTCTCTGTCTCTGTCTCTGTCTCTGTCCCTGTCTCTGCCTGTCTCTCTCTCTCTCTTTCTCTCTCTCTCTCTCTCTCCCTCTCGCTCCATCTCCCTCTCCCGCTCACTCGGAATCAGGGCAGCAATTGAGGCCAGCCTGGGACTCGACGTGGGATGGAGAGGGACGCGACGGCAGCACACCAGCAGCGGCAGCAGCCGCTGGTCAGCATTCCTTATCATCCTATTCCTCCTGGAGCTGATGGGGCACGATATGGCAAAAGTCCTGCGCGACGCTGCGAAGAGCGTTCGGACGAGGGCGAAGACATGTCATGCGAAAAACGACAGCTTGAGGCGGTTCTGGCCTCCACGATGTCTGCCTTGTTCAGCTGGCTCAGGGCCTTGCAGGTCAGAAGTCAAAAAATGCTATCATCATTCTCGCCATCCGCATCCTCCTCATCTTCCGTGCCCCAATCCTCCTTCCAATCCCTTCCCTCCTCCTCCCCCGTCGCAATAACGAGACAAAAGCCCAATCAATTAGTTCCAACATGCTCCGAATTGCTGGAACCAAGCTCGGATCAGAGCATACGCAGCGATCGGGCGAGCGTGGTGGAGCAAGGAAGTGGAAGGAGGACGGAGGGATAACAGAAGAGGGAAACGAACGAGGAGCGAGAAAGTGGAGGTGGGGGGGCATGTGGACGAGGATGAGGCGGAGGAGAGGGCGGAGGAGACGGGGTTGGAGGGCAAGGAAGAGGAGGACGAGGGAGGACAAAAAAAGGTAGTGGGGACGAGAGGAAAGGGGGGAGGGAGAAAAGAAAGAGGAGGAGAAGAACAGACACCACAAGATACTACAAGACCGATCGCGAAGCGATGTATAATGAATCAGACTCTAGCCGCAGGCTCAGCCTTGCTGATCACTTTAGGCCAAAGACCACGCGAAAATTGGATTGAGACATCCATTCCGAGGCTCTGTCGGGGCCTCACAGGGCTTCAGACCCCGCAAAACCACAGGTTCAGGCCATCATGAAACTCCATCGGAGGGGAAACGGGGGCCGCGGGAGACGGGAGGGATAGAGAACTGGGGAGAGTAGGAGGAAGCCGACTGCCCTGACGAGGCCGAGGGCAACCCGACGGACAACAGAACTCGAAACCGTGGCCCGGGGAACATGCCCTTGCCCTCTCCCCCCCTTTGTCCCTTTTCGTGGCCGGCGGGGACCGTCAGAGGCCTCCGCAAGTAAAGGCCTCTGGAGGCCCCCATGAGGCTCCAGGGGGGGGTATTCAAAGACCAGGGACCCTGCTCAGCCCCCGGGGGGCCTCCCAAGACCTGTGGAGGCCTCCGGGTGCCTGCGGCGCGCCGTGTGCGACGAATCGGAGGCGCGCGCCCGCGCGCGCTGCCTGGCCGCGCCGCAGGGCTGGGATGGCTCGCCCCTCTTGGCCTAACGTATGGGCCCCCTCCACAAATAGCAAGGACGGAAGGACTGTCCAGCAGTCGCCACTGCCATCTGCTCGTGCGAGGCCCGTCTGGCTGAATGCGCATCATCCTCATCCTCATCACCGTCACCACCGTACGTAATCATCACCACTACCACCACAACGTCACCACCGCCACCATCATCATCATGAACATCACCACCAGCACAATCACCATCATCGTTCCTGCCCTCATCTTCATCGTTATCCTCATCACCACCACCACGACCATCATCAGCGCCACCGTGTTCCTGATGAGAAACATGATCAACCTAATCAGCATCAACAACACAATCCACGCAATCGCAACACTGCGCACACCATCGTCAACTCATCAACACAATCGTCGTCCTCATCATCGACCTCAGATTCGCCATGATCATCATCGCGATCACCATCAGCCTCATCATCATCAGCATCATCATCAGAAGCATCATCTGCATAATCACAAGCATCATCGTCATCGTCATCATCAGCATCAGCATCATCATCAATATCATCGTCATGATCATCAGCATCATCATCACCATCACCATCATTTCTTCATCAGCATCATCAGCAGCAGCAGTATCATCATCGGCATCATCCTCATCTTCATCTTCATCTTCATCATCGGCATCATCATCAGCAGCAGCATCGTCATCCAAACAATAATCATTATTACCATCTTCATCAACAACCATCAACAATCATCATCAGCAGCAGCATCGTCATCCGTATCATCTTCATCATTCTTGCCATGCTGACAAGCACCATCACCAGCAGCATCATCATCAGCATGACCCCCACCATCACCAGCATCAGCAACACCATCATCATCACCACCAGCATGGTCATCATCATCATCACCAGCAGCACCATCAAGAGCAGCATCATCAGCAGCATCATCAATATCAAAATCG